CTCAGAACACTGCTGTTCTAAGGTTGTGTACACATCACCATTTATCTCTATTAACCTTTGCACACCTCCTCTGTGTCCTCATCTGTCTGCATCATCTGTCAGCCTCCCTCTTCTTGTATATTGCCCTCCCTGTCACCCAAGTTAACAGGTGCCTACCCATGGCACCTAACAACAACGACAAACCCTCTAGCCAGTGAATTATTCTTCCTTATGGAAGCAGACAGCCTCATCTTTCTCCCAGATAGTGGCTGGTGGGTTTGAACTGTCAACCTTTGGGTTAGCAGTTCAGTGCTTAGCCCACTGTGTGCACCATTCAGGGACTCCAAGGTAGGCCTAGAAGTCTTCATTTTAAATGCATTTAGAAAGAAGCAGCCTCTGCTCCCCAAGACCACGTCTTCTGAGCTCAGCCATGCATGTTCACACCCCAGAAGCAGGTTTCACAGCGCGTACCTCTGAAATATCAAAGTGGAAATCCAACGTTTTGCCCGGTAACTCCTTAGACGCACTGGTCCACACTCGATGGATTTCTATCTTGGAAAGGTCGCTGTGTTGATAAGAAGGCAGAGCCAGGCTGGCCGATCGGGAGACCACCAGCTTTAGGATATTCAAAGTCTCTCTCCAGTGTACGCTCTGCAGGAAAAACAGTCGGCGGTGAGACATGACTTGATTTTTCTGAAAGTGTCTGCTGGAATTTATTCAATCCAGTCAGAATTCATTCATTTAGAATTGCACAGAAAACCTTCCTGATAAGTAAAATGAAAATAACGTACAAAGACAATTTATAAGATGCACTGCATTTAGGAAATAAAGTCTAAAAAATGATCCACTTTGTATTCAAATGAAGTTTAAAAATAATGAGGTAACATTTTTGCCAATGCCACACTCTCCCAATTTGGAAATAAGTCTCCAATGCATTTCAATAGTTTATGGGTGCCCTCAAGTGAGTTCTGAGCCAGTGTCCCCATGTGACAGAGCAGAACCACCCTAGAAGGCGTCTTTTTCTTTAAACTCTTTGTTGTGATTTGAGTGAAAGTTTCCAGAGAAGATGGGTTTTCCATTCAGCAATTCAGACACATTTTGATTCATGACAGTAACTGACTTCCAATCTCTGCAAATCAACAGCACTCTCCCTCCATGCTGCCTGCATTTCCTGTTTCCATTCATCCTTTCCCCTATCCCTTCCTGCCTTTGAAGCTTTCTCCAGGGCAAGCACTGGCCTTCAGATCCCATATGGCGTTGTTCTGAGGAGTGTGTCATTCACCTTACAGGCTGTGGTTTGGCTGAAAGATGACCCACAGAGGGTGAGTTTCAGCCTTGAAGGGAGACTAAAGACCAGAGTCTTGGGGCTTCTGTGAAGAATGTCTACCCTGTGTCTCTGAACAACACTGTTTGAAGGGAAAGTGAAGGAATGCTTGGAATCTTGTGAGCCTGGGAGAATTTCTGCAAGTCACAGGATGGGTGTTGGGAAGCTGGAAAGGATTGTTTAAAGTGAACATCGCACGACGATGGCACTTCCCTGGACCCTGAAGAGAGGACGCTAGAGCTCACAGTGCACATGCCAGAGGAGACAGGAGCACATGAGATGTGCAGAAGAGGGTGCCATCTTCCAGGTCTTGTGTGTGGATTCCAATTCACAGCAACCCTCTGGAACAGAGGAGAGCTTCTCCCTAAGGGTCCTGAAGATGCCTCATCTCTCTCCTGAAGATCAGTGGGTGGGTTTGAGCTGCTGACCACCTCACACCACCAAGACTCTTTGGTTAGACTATATTGTCTTGTCCCTTCATCAAACACTAGTCTAGGTGGTGCTGGGAAGGAATTCCATAGATGTAGGTTAATGTAGATGTACATATGTTACATCAGTAGTCAAGGAGATGACCCCTGAAAATGCGGGTGGGCCTTATCCAATCAGGTGAAGGACTAAAGAGCAAAACCGGAGGTTTCCCTGAGAAGACACTTGGCCTTAAATCCCACTGAGTGGCCTCCCACGGAGGTCAGCTGCTGGCCTGTGTTTGACTGTGGAACACCGTACCTGCTTGGACCTTGTTCCCAGTCTGCCCGCCCACTCTATGGAGGGTGGCATGATACCCATTCGGCTTTGCAGATGCACAATGAGTCCAGGCTATGTGTGGGGCCTCCATCTCCTATCTGTAAAGAAAGCCATTCCAATACAACTCACCTGTACGTATTTCTCAATGGTCTTCAGAACCTCCAGGTTAAACTGCTTCACAGGAATGAGGGACAAATCCACGTAGCTGAGCAGACTGCACATCACCTGGAGCAGGGACTGCTGCATACTCGGAAGGCCCTTCTCCAGCAACTGAGACCCGCGCAAGGACGAGACCAGGAGGAGGTCACCCAGAGGCTCTGTTCTCAGTATCTATGAGCACCGTTTTCCTGAAGTTGTTGTTGTTGTTGGGTACTATCCAGTCAATTCTGACTCACAGCACCCCCATGTGACAGAGTAGAACTGCCCCAGAGGATTTCCTAGGCTGTCATCTATTGTGTCACTATATACTGGTATATACTCTTATAGATCATCCACTCACAGCGCCTCCTGGTGTAACAGAGTAGAACTGTCCCACAGGGTTTCCTAGGCTGTCGTCTATTGTGTCACTATATACTCGTAGGTTGTTGTTGTTAAGTGCTGTTGAGTCGATTCTGACCCATAGCGACCCTGTACAGGGTTTCTGAGGCTGCAAATCTTTATGGGAGCAGAAAGCCTCATCTTTCTCCCATGGAACAGCTGGTAGTTTTGAACTGTTGACCTTAAGGTTCGTAGCCCAATTCGTAACCACTATGCTATCAGAGCTCCTTATATACTTGTATAATATACTCTTATATATCATCCACTCACAGTGCCCCCATGTGACAGTAGAACTGCTCCAGAGGGTTTCCTAGGCGGTCCTCTTCACAGGAGAAAATCGCCAGGTCTTTCTCCTGTGGAACAGCTGGTGGGTTTGAACCAATGACTTTGTGGTAAACATACAAGTGCTTAACCACTGCATCACCAGGCTTATTTCCTCAGGATGCTGACAACATGCAGTATGGAGCAGAGACAGTGGGGTAGGTTTGAATGTACGAATACAACGTCCATGCTCTAAATAGACCAAAGTAAGCTTATAACAGGAGTCCTGAGGTGGTGCTCCGGGTTAATGCGCTGGACTGCAGAGTCGGTTTGAACTGCAAGGTAAGTGGTTCAATCTGACTGCTTAACAGAAATCCTATACAGGATCGCTATGGGTTGGAACTGACTTGACGGTACTTCACAACAACAACAACAACAACAACAACAACAACAAGCTTGTAAAAAAGAAAAGCACCAAACATTATCAGTTGTCAGAAAAGCAGAAATGACAATGTACAATGTTCCAGTTATTATTTCGCAAATGGGTTAAAAATGCTCATGTCTTTTGAAACAGTAAGGGTATTTTTTAGAAACTGTTCCAGGAACTGAGAGAAATGCTAGGATTTCCATAGGGGGTACCGACACCCCCTAACGGTCATCGATTCGATTCCAGCCCACAGCGACACGACAGGGCAGAGATCACAAACTATTAATCTGTTTCAGTTACTGGGTGGTGGTGCCGAGGCTGAAACATTGGGAGACCACGAGGCCATGTGGAGCAGTTCTACACTGCCCTGTAGGGTTGCTAGGAGTCGGACTGACCTCAATGGTGGCATGGGACGAGTGTGTACACACTATAGCCAGGGACGCCACACCAGAGCTCATCCTTAATCTGCAAGCTCACCTCCGCCAGGTACGTCACCATGTTCAACGTAATGTCAGCATACGCCTCGTGGAGGTAGCGGCAGACGACGTTGACCCAGGTGGCGCTGTCTCTGGTGTAGCTGTGAGTTTTGTACAGAGTCATCACGTGCGCGAGATTCGAAAGCTTGGGGTTCTTCTCCTCCAAACAGACCTTGTGAGGTGAGAACACCAGTCAGGGATGGAGCAGCCTGGAGACTAGGGGGCCATGTTAGCAACTCTGCAGGTAAGTCTTGGCAGCCCGGAAACCCCTCTGTCTTGTAGAAATGCTACCTCGATACCCCTCGTTAGCGTAGGAGTCACACCAACGCCCTCCCCCTGCCTTCTCGCGCATGCAACAAACATAGGGCCTTTGTGTCAGCCACCCAGGACGTGGGAGGGTCAGTCAAAGAGTATTGCTACCAGAGTTCTAGTTTTTTCCACACAAAACACGACTACCCATGTCTCTGTGACCCACAGAGGGCTGCAGTCAAGTTCTAGCAGTGACACACTTGGTCTTGTAGGGGGGCCTTCAAAATAAAGGCCTAGTCAAAACAGTAGCTTTTGAGGGGACCCGCTAGGCCAGTTAATTCAATTCAGAAAGGGAAGCTCTGAAGATCATCGTGAATGTTTTAGGGGGAAGTCAAAAAAGGGAGTCTTGGTAGATTTTCTCAAAGGTCACAGAATGACCACCAGGGTTTATTAGGAAGACGTATTCAAACAATCAAAAAGTGCATTGGCGAGAAAAAGGTCAGGAGAAGTGCAAAGAATGTGTTTCCATTATGACAATGCATCTGGTCATTGTTCAAGGGTAGCAAGGGCTGTCCTCAAAGGGAAACCTTACCCCACCCACAAGCTCTCCTCTTGCCTCTTCAGACTTATTTCTGTTCTTCAGACTCAAAGGAACATGATTTGAGTCCCTTGAAGACAGCCAAACAGCTGTTTTGATGTGGTGTAAATCAAAGGGTAAAAAATATTTTGAGGAAGGGTTGTTGTTGTTGTTAAGCACCATGAAGTCGGTTCTGACTCTTAGCAATCCTGTACAGGGTTTCTGAGGCTATAAATCCTTACAGGAGCAGAAATCCTCATCTTTGGCCCATGGAACAGCTGGTAGTTTCGAACTGCCAACCTTGAGGTTAGTAGCCCGATTCAAGATGGAAACGCCACCCTGGGAAATGTATAGACATGCAGTCGGGTGTCGTTGAGTCTGCGCTGACCCAAAGCGCCCTAACGCACAACAGAAGGAAACACTACCAGCCTGGTACAGTCCTCACCACTGTTTGGGCCCATTGCTGGAGCAGCCATTGTTCAATCCATCTCATTGGGGGTCTTCTTCTTTTTACACCTCCATGTCACCAAACATGATGTCCTTTTCCCGGGATTGGTCCTTTCTGATATGTCTGAAGTATGAGAGACGAAGTCTTGCCTTCTTTGCTTCTAAGCAGCATTCTGGCTATACTTCTTCTAAGACAAATATGCTTGGTCCTCCAGATGTCCATGGTATCTTCAATATTTTATGCCAACACCATAATTCAACTTTATCAATTTTTCTCCCATCTTCCTTATTCACTGTTTAGCTTTCACATGCATATGAGGCAATTCAAAATACCAGGGTTTGGTTCAGGCTTACCTTAGTCTTCAGAGTGACTAACCATTTATAATCTTTGCTTTTTAAAAGTTTAATGAGGAATGTAAAACTAATGTTCTTCCATGTAAACTATCACATAATTCACAATGAAACATTAAAAACAAAAAAAAATTTAATGAGGTCTTTTGCAGCAGATATGCTCAATGCAATAAGCATTTGATTCCTTGACTGATACGTCCATGGGTATTGATTATGGATCCAAGTAAAATGAAATCCTTGACAACTTCAATCTCTTCTCCATGTGTCATGGTGGTGTTTGCTGGTTGTGAGGACTTCTGTTCCCTTTACATTGAGTTGTAGTCCATTCTGAAGGTTCTATGTAGTCTTTGATGTTCGTAAGCAAGTGCTTCAAGTCCTCTTCATTTTCAGCTTCAAGGTTGTGTCATCTGCATATTGCAGGTTATTAATGAGTCTTCCTCCAATCTTGAAGCCACATTCTTTCTCATATAATCCAGCTTCAGGGATTATGAGCTCAGCATACAGATTGAATAAGGAAGGTGAAAGGATACAACGCTGGTGTATACCTTTTCCTGATTTTAAACCGTTCAGTGTCCCCTTGTTCTGTTTGAACACCTGCCTCTTGGTTTATGTTCAAGTTCCTCATGAGCTCAATCAAGAGTTCTCCAGTTGCGGTTCTTCTCAATGTGACCCACACAGTCGAAGGCCTTTGTATAGTCAATAAAGCACAGGCAGACATCTTTCTAGTATTCTCTGTTTTCAGTCAAGACCCATCTGACGTCAGCAATGATAACACTTATTCCTTGACTTCTGAATCTGGCTTGAACGTCTACTGCTCTCTGCTGATGTGCTATTGCAACCATTCAATGTGATTTTCTGTTGGCTCCTCCTTCTTTAGAATAGACACACATATGGAGCTCTTCCAGTCAGTTGGTGAAGTAGCAGTCTTCCAAACTTCTTGGCATAGATGAGTGAGCGCTTCCAGTGCTGCATCAGTTTGATGAAAGATTTCAGCAGGTATCCCGTCAGTTCCTGAATCCTTGATTTTTGTTAATGCCATCAGTGCAGATTGGACTTCTTCCTACAACATTATCGCTTCTCGATCATACGCTACCCTGTGGAACATTTCTTTCTGCATCATTTAGTATTTCGCCCATTGAATCCTTCAGTGTTGCAAGTTGGGAATTCAGGTTTTTTTTTTCTGTTTTATTAGCTTGAGAAATACTGAACATGTTTTTCCCTTTTGGTTTTCTAACTCCAGGACTGTGCACATTTCATTATAATACTTGACTTTGTCTTCTTGAGCTATCCTTTGAAATGTTCTGTTCAGCATTCTTAGTTCACCATTTTTTCCATTCGCTTTAGCTTCACTATGTCCAAGATCATGTTTCAGAGTCTTTCCTGACATCTACTTTGGTCTTTTCTTTCTTTCCTATTTTTAAAATTATCTTTTGTTTTTTTCCTGTTTGATGCTCTTGATGTCATCCCATAGCTCCGCTGGTCTTCCATCATTGCTTCTAATACATCAAATCTGTTCTTGAGATGGTCTAAAAATTCAGGTGGAATATACTCAAGGTCATATTTTGGCTGTTGTGGACTTGTTTTAACTTTCTTCAGCTTCAACCTGAACTTGCATATAAGCAACTGATGGTCTGTTCCATAGGCTGCCCCTGGCCTTGTTTTGGCTGATGAGATGGAGCTTGTCCATTGCTCCTGCCTACAGATGGAGTCAACGTGAATCCTATGTGTTCTAGCTGGTGAAGTTCCCATGCACAGTCTCTGTTTATGTTGTTGAATGGATAAGTTGTTGGTCTTGCAAAATGCTATCATGCAATCTCCAGCATCTTTTCTTTCAATAAGACCATATTTTCCAACTGCTGATCTTTCTTCTGTTTGTAACCTTCACATTCCAATCACCAGTAATTATCAATACATCTTGATTGCAAGCCTGAACAATTTCAGATTGAAAAAGTTGGTAGAATTCCCCAATTTCCTCATCACTGGCTTTGGTGAGTACATTTGAATAATAAGTTGTATTAACTGGTTTTCCTTGTAGGCATATGGATATTATCCTATCACAGACAGCATTGATAAATGCAATGCCATTCCTCTTCAATGTGTTGTTCCTGGCATAGTAAACCATATGATTGTCTGATTCACAAAGGCCAATACCAGTCCATTTCAGTTCACTAGTGCCTAGGGGATCGATCTTTATACGTTCCATTTCATTTCTGACAACTTCCTATTGTCCATACTTTCTGATTATTAATGGATGTTTGCAGCTGTTCCTTCTCATTTTGAGCCATGTCCAATCAGCAAATGAAGGTCCAGAAAGCTTTGCTGCATCCACATCCTTCTGGCTGACTACTCTGAGGAGGCAGCTCTTCCCCAGTCGTGTTCTGAGTGACTTCCAACCTGATGGGCTCATTTATCAGACAATGTATCAATCTGGCGCTGTATCAGACAATGTTCTGCTACTCTTCATAACCCCTCAGAAGTGGACCACCTTGTCCTTCTTCCTGGCCTGTCGTAGTCTGGAAGCGCTGCTGAAACCTAACCACCATGGATGACCCTGCTGGGATTTGAAACTCTGGGGGTGAAGCCGCCACAGTATGAAAACAGACACACGTAGACAGAAGATATGTGGAGAAATAGGAACTTCACATTTTGATATTTTTGTTTAGTAACGCTTTCGGTGATTTGTTAGCAATACTTTTTGACACAGCCTCATACATTACTACCTATAAACCAAATCCCACGGCTGCCAAATTGATTCAGACTCACAGAGACCCCATGTGACAGAGTGGGCTCCACCCATCAACATTCCAGACCCTTTAACGATACCAGTTTTTATTTTCAGGTTTTGTGAAAACGGTTGCCCTCCCTGTGCCTGGAAATTTCAGCCTGACCTCAGGTCTTCCTAAAGGCCAGTATCGATCCATCTGAGGGCAGGACTGTAACCCGTACCTGAGCGATGCGTTCTGCCACGTCCTTACAGAACTGAGTGGGATTTTCAAAATGCTGAATCAGCTGGGGCAGGAGACACAAGACGTTCAGCGGAAACCCTGAATGGAGAAGAGACAATGAACACAGATGGATACTGGGCACATTTTAGCTGTTAATGGCTAAAGAAGATACAATATAGACTCTATTCTGAGGTGACAAAAGGCTGACTTTAGGAAGCACTTTAATATGCTAACATAAACCCAGGAAAGACCTACTATCATAGCGGCACCAGTTTTAAAGGAGACAATGGAGTGGACTGGGAATTTTAAGGTCCAGCATCCCTCTTGGTAAGGAGTCCCAGTGGTGTTACAGTGAAACACTTGGCTGCTAACTGAAACAGGGGCTGCTGGAATCCAGCCAGTGACTTATGGGGAGAAAAGTCTGGTGGTCTGCTCAAACAGATGAATCCCGTAGACACTGAGTTGATTCTGATTCACAGCGCCCCCATGTGACAGAGCGGAACTGCCCCAGAGGGTCTCCAAGGCTGCCAACTTCCCAGACAGCCACAACTTTCTCCTGTGGATTGGCTGTTGTGTTTGAAGCACAGACTTTTCAGTTAGCATCCAAGCACCTGAAAGACTGTGCCACCAGCTCTCCTTCTCATAAAGATCACAGCCTCAAAACTCTGAGGCCCTTATACCCTGTCACACGGGGTCACCATGCATTGAAAATGAACCCAACACCACCACCAACGGCCCTCTGCCAAGGGTTGGTTTTGACTAAGGATAACTGGCACAGAGTCTAAAAAGCAGATAAAAATGAACAGAAGCATTAATTGGGAATTTTAATCAAAAGCAAATTTTTAAGGAAAGCTCTGGTAGCGTAGTGGTTTCGAATCGGACTGTGAACCGCAAGGTCAGCAGTTTGAAACTACCAGCTGTTCCACAGGAACAAGATAAGGTTTTCTGCTCCTGTAAAGATTTACAGCCTCGGGAACCCTGGACAGGGTCGCTATGGGTCGGAACCGACTCCATGGTACACAACCACCACCATCACTTAAAGGAAGTAGACCAACCACTTTCGGGTTTCACTCATGTAGGGAACCAACTCTCCCACTGATGATGGATTACTAAGTACACAGTGTTAGGCTCTAGCTTCATGAAAAGAATTCTGGACCACATGTCACAGCATTACAAATCTGCTTTGTCTTCATTTAAGACAATAATCAACAGCAGTTGGTTTCAAGAGGTAAAGAAAGGCAAAGAAAAGAAAGATTCGGGAGTTAAGATGTAAGAGGTAAAGTATCTCTTCTTCCATCCCTCACTCACTGACGTGGTTCCAAAGACCAGGCCATTCGGTGAAAATCAGTATGATGAAAAAAAAGGAGGATAATGACTTCAGATCACAAGACAGAGGACAACGAATCAGATGACAAACGGTTATAGCCACATCACCACATAACAGCCTGACTGCAGAGAATCACAGGCCACTCACGCTGGCACAACATAACCTGAACCACCACAGACAGACTACTCTAGTCTCATGCCTCATGGACACTGGGAATGTGCAAAATAGTCAGATAGCAGAGTTTCAACTGCTGTTGTAACATGAGATGGCCAGTGAGAATTAGGTGTACAAAATTTATCAAGAGAAGGAGCAAACAGTATTGGCAATTTCATCTGGAAAGAAATAACGAACGCCTTATAGATTTCTTATGCTCTCTTCATGCTATTGCCTTAAAAATATCATCAATGATTGAAATAATCATGCCTTAGATTTTATGAAGTTTTAAAGGGGGGAAATACTGCTCCCAAGGAAGCATGTCTAAGTGGAATTGTAAGAAGCAGTGGTGTTGTTGAGCCATCGAGTCGATTCCAGTTCCCAGCAACCCTACAGAACAGAACAGGACTGCCACATAGTGTTTTCCTTGCTGTCATCTTTATGGGAGCAGATCCCGAGAGCTTTCTCCTGTGGAGCCACTGGGTGGGTTCAAACCACCGACCCTTTGGTTCACAGAGGAGTGCTTAACCATGTGACACCAGGGCTCCTTGTTAAAAACAGGAGGCCCACGTGACCTCATCACTCGACACAGAGACACAGCACCACCAGAACGTGCGAGAGAGCAGGTGCACGCGGGCTTTACCGATGGTCTGGGAGGCATCCACCATGGGCACTCTGGACACGGGGGTCAGCAGACTGAAGAGCTGCAGAGTCAGGTCTGTGGTGGTGAATGATGTGAAGCCTTTCAGCAGCAGCTGCTGCAGCCCTGAGAAGTCCGTCCACTTGAGCTGCGCCTGGACCTTCTCAAGTTTTTCCCGGGTCTCGGCTTTGTCCAGCGGCATGTGAGCCAGCAGCCTGCTCAGGAGCCTGAGAGCCATCAGGTATTCAAACTCAAAGTCAGACTCCATCAAGGCCACTGTGACCCAGAAGATGGTGGCCAACAGGTTGGTTGGGTGGTTGATGTGGGTTGGGTCGCTCAGACTGTCCTTCAAGGAGGTTGAGCTCCTGGTCTTTGAGGAGATGCCTTGTTGGGTGCAAGCCTGGATCCTGTCCAGGGTAGCACTTCGAGGTGGGTCTGAAGAGCGGTCGATGACACCAAACTTCTTGGGGACAGAGAAACTCCTCTGATGTCGGCTGCGCTCTGCAGTGGTTGTGTTACCGCTGGCAGCTCCCGGGTTCACATTGAGTTGTCCTGTACTCTTCCGGCTGGCTGTCAGTTTAGTGCTGGAGCTTAAATCCGGAGATGAAGAGCTGGGAATAAAAACACACACACTCGTGAGAACCTCAACATGCTTCAGTTCAGAGTCAGCCCTACCCTGTGTGCTGAGGACCAAGAGGGCGGGGAACCGTTCTTGGGACATACTACTTCTAAAGTGATTTTCTTTCTCTTTATTCTTAAATGAGTATCGACGTAAAACAAAATTTAGCAGGAGCAAGCCTCAAATGAAACAAAATCATTAACTTGATCTTTCTGAGAGTCTACAGAAATGGTCAGTTGGTCTTCATGTTGACTGGTCTTTTGTTTACGTTTTGCTTGAATTTGGGTAAAAATCATAATAAAATGAATTCATTTCTGATAGGATAGGTTGTTGTTGTTGTTATGTGCCGTGGAGTCAGTTCCGACTCATAATGATCCTGCATAGGGTTTCCGAGGCTGTAAATCTTTACGGGAGCAGAAAGCCTCATCTTTCTCCTGTGGGACAGCTGGTAGTTTCTAACTGCTGACCGTGAGATTAGCAGCCCGATTTGTAACCACTACGCTACCAGAACTCCTTGATAGAATAGGTACAACCTGCTATAAGCTATTAACTGACTGATTGTATGGCACTGCAGGATAAGCACTTGACCACAAGGTTGGTTTGAACCTCAAGGTCAATGGTTCAAACTCACCAGCTGCTCCTTGAAAACCCTATACAGGGTCACTATGGGTCGGAACTGACTCGATGGTACTTAACAACAACATAAAGAACAGAGTCTTGGTGCAGCGCTGTAAGATCAGCACTAGACAGCTATCTGCAAGGTCGGTGGTTCAAGCCCAGTCGCTCCTTGGAAATCCTATACAGGGTTGCTATGAGTCAGAACCAGCTTGACAGCACTTAACAACACTAAACAACAACACTTAACAACAAAAATGGGAATGAAGGTATTTAGAAAAAAGCCAGTAAATGTTTGTGCCAAAGAAAACTGCTTTTGAACTTAGAAAAAATTTATGAAAATGATTCCTATGTTTGTCTTACACAGAAGAGATAGAGCTCTTTATCAATATTCTTGCTAAAATTTTTATTATTTAAGTAAACCTGTAGATTTATGTGGAGATATATATATATATATATGGCTTTGGATAGGTCATGGAAAATCCCACTATCTTTTGGTTCTATTTTTCTGTGAACTTTTTGTAGCCCCCCGTATATACATATATTTATATATAAACAAACATATATATAAACACAGACACACACACTTATATAGCTTCTGATTTTGTAATGTAAGAAAACATCATAAATGTTTTTCACATTGTAAATGGTCCTCAAACCTAGACTTGCTCTTTGGACTCTGCCCAACAGACAGTACAGGAGAGGCGATTTCATAATGGTGCTGTGGGGTTCTCACCGAGACAGCACGGTCCACAGGTCATTGTTCTTCAGACAGTCAGATAAGTTATCCACAGCCGCCTCCAGCGTTAGCAGCACTTCCATGACGTAGCCCTGCCAGACACACAAAGTCAGCGGTTGTTAGTGCTTCTAACTTCAGTGGGAGCCCTGGTGGCACGCGGGCTTGGCTGCTGGGCTGCTAACTGCAAGGTCAGCCATTCCCTGGGTGAACGATGAGCCTCGGAGATGTCGTAGGTGGTTCTACTCTGTCCTACAGGTGTCTTTGTGAGTCACAATCCACTCAGTGGCAATGGGTTTGGTTTCGGCTCTTCTGATTCCTGTGACTTTCTTGAAGATCCCATCTATGAATGCCAATTCTACTCCAATAACAGAGACGGTGAGGCCATTATTGCTAGCTTAGCTGGGATAGCACAAAAAAAGGACTTTTAGAACTTGAAGAAAAACGTACAGGATTTCTTTCCTCAAGTCCAGTGTCTACGACAAATCATCTACAACAGGATGGGGATGAGGGTGAAGGGGTCAGTGTGGCCCCCGGCAGATGGGGGTGGTGGGCATTTGAGAGGTGGTGTGGACTGCATGGAAAGACAGAGACGCAGTGGCATCGCCTACAGTCTGCCCCGTGGCCCAGAAGAAGGACCAGAGATTAGGGGCTGTAGGCAGGCACGTTTCCTGGGATGTGGGAACATTTATAATGGTAAAGAGGGGCTCGGTCTGGTTCTCAGAGCCCCTAATGCCCTTGGGTTCCAAGCTGCCCAGCTCCCTGGTCTCTCGTCCACCTACAGGGGCATTCTTGAGGAAGTTACACTCTGCATTTCTTCTCGGGATCCTCTAAGTCTCCGGAGGGTAAACTGCACAGAGAGGGAGGGTGTTCAGCCTGGGTGTGGAGGGGCATGTATAACAGCACTGAGGTTGGAGGTAATAAACCAACACAATACAAGCAAACACCTCTGTCCCCAATCTTCCCCCCGCAAACCCCAACACAAGGGCCACCAGAGGTTTTTCCCATTTTGGCTTGAGTCAAACAGAACATCTTTCAACTTTCCAGAACAATCTACATGGCGTGAATTTTTTGGAACTGTAAGAGTCAACTTCTAGACTCTACTCTCAGGGAAAGAGGCTGTGTGCTGGCGGCCAGGAGGCAGGCTTGGTTGTTTAAATGATTATATATTCCTGAGTGTTTTTGTGTACATCCCCCCTACCAAAAACAAAACAAAACAAAATAAAACAAGACCAGAAGGAACAGAAGCAAATACTGTTGAATGATGATGCACGGAGAGATTATAATCATTGCAATGACATGATGGTGTAAAACTGAAGTTCTCCCATGTAAACTATCACTCAATTCACAATAAAAACTTAACTGATAAATCGACAAGGATATAGAAACAAAGGTCATAGGAAAAAGTACAAACAGTAAAAAAAAGGACAAATAATTTTCAATAGTTTTATTAAAAAAAAAGTCAACCTCTAAAAAAAAATCACCTATGTGCTCCTTAGAATAATCACCCAATGACAGAGTTCAGAAGGCAAGTTGTTGTTGTTGTTAAGTGCCATTGAGTCAGTCCCGACTCATAGCGACCCCGTATAGAGTTCCTGAGGCTTTAGATATTCACAGGAGCAAAAAGCTACATCTGTCTCCCGTGGAGTGACTGGCAGGCTTGAACTGCAGACCTTGTGGTTCACCATCCAGTGCTTATTGTATGGAGCCACCGCACTCCACAGAAGGCAAGAGGGGTTGGGAAGAAAGAGGAATGGAAACGAAGTACAGGAGGACGTGGGATGAGGGACATTCCACTGTGAGCTTGCCATCAATGAGGTGAAACAAACAGTGCATGAAATGCTTGATGGAAAACAGATTTGCTCTTAAATTCATAATTAAAAAGTTGAAAAAAACCCCAACAAACTAACAAGAAAGAAATAAAAATCAAACAGCAAATGCCCTGATGAGGCATTGCAGGGTAAGCACTGGACTGCTACTTGCAAGGTGGGAAGTTCAAACCTACTAGTCATTCTTAGAGACCCTATATAAGGTTGCTATGAATCAAAACTGACTCAATGAGACAACATTTACAACAACAACAACCTGAAACTACACAGTCAGCAATTGCTTTAACACAAAGATGAGAAGGTAGGCAGGGAGGCTAGATGAATGGAAACAAAGCAACTAGACTGGAAATAGTGGGAATGTTCACACCTTGTTAAGAATGTAATCAACTTATGTAGAAATGATTGAATAGGAACTCGAAATGTTGTGTCATCCCTCACTGAAAAAAAACAATTGTTATTTAAAAAAAATCAACCTCTAAGACAAAAAAACAGAGTTAGAAATTGTGCACGTCCAAATGGTGGGAAAATCGACGAGAGAAAGGTTTTGAGATGGAAAGAGGAAGGAAGAGCACTGGGCCTAGCATTCCATACCTGGATCTCATCTCCGTGTTCTCCAATGACTTCCACCAATCTCGAGAGCAGGTCGGACAAGGCGTGGGCTGACAGAGGCTGCTTCAGGGCCCGGAAGATCTGGAAGGACCGTCCGGCGTAGTGCCTTGAAGAGCTGGCAAGAGCAGTCTGCAACGCAACTTCACTTAAGTACTGCTCCAGATGGAAGCCTAGGTCCAGAGGGGAACAGTGAATGGGTCAGCTTCCACACCACAAACCCTGGACCAGTGATGTGAGGCTGCAAGTAGGCGGCAAACCCTGGACCCCCGATGTTACCTAAGGCTTCACACAAAACGCAGTTCCTGGGCCACTGATGTTACCCTATGCTTTACACAGGCCAAGGGGACAGAGCTATGTAATTGTACATTTAAAAAATTTCATCATGTTAAAATAAAAACAAAACAAAACACCACAGTTTGAATGTCTCCTAACTTTTTTTTTTTTTTTATTGTAAATTATGTGATAGTTCACATGGGAAACATTAGCTTTACATTCATTCTATCGTATATTGTTTCATTGCCATGGTTACAATCCCCTCCATGCATCATCAACCAAGCAAAGGGTATATACCCTGCAAGCCTGCCCCACCCCCGGTTGTCAGCACACAGCCCCTCTCCCTCTCTGGGTCTAAAGTTCCCAACCGCTCCATCTCTCCACATCATCGTCTCTGCCTCCATCTCTGGCGTCACAGCTTCTTCTGGGTAGGATCCCACTCTCTGCTCTTCTCCCTTGATGGTCCCAGGGACCTCTGCTCCTGGACTGCAAAGTCAATCACTCCTCTCCTTTTGCTACAGAACGTCTATCTTTATATTTCCAACCCTTGCAGTCAGCACTG